AGCCTGACATTCTTATGTAAGTACACAAAGTCACATGGCCTAACTGGGAAAGGAAGACCTTGAGTGGTTTGTGGTCTGAAAGTGACCTGTCTTATCAAATTGTTCATAGCCTGGAATCTTTCCAGTGGAACGTACACCCTTGTTCAGATCAAATCCAGGGTTGCTCCTATAAAGTCTATTGTCCCAGTGGAAATCAAAATAGACTTTACTTAGTTAACACAGATACCGAAGTCTGCTAGAAATTGGAACAAAAACAGAGTCACTAAATAGATCTCCTGACTTAAGTGACCCATTAGGAGCCAGTCATCCAGATATGAGACTGTGTGTCTTATAATGATATATAAGCTATGATGTGTCATTTGCACCACTTCACTCAGAAAGCCTTTGTGAAAATGGTGTTGCTAGTCCATATAAGAGTATTCTGAACTGGTAGGGACACACAAAGATAAACTAAGATTAAAAACTCAATCCTAAAATATTAAAGAAACACTATGTACAGTATATTTACCAGTTTGAAGAAAAAAGCTGCACTGAGAAGTGTATGGACCCCACAGATTCTGACCCAAGGCACACACCATTAAGAAGGAATGAAAGAGGCATCAGTCTGCCCCACCCCTTACGCCCTTGGTTCAGAACACAGGAAGAACAGTTGCACAGGTATAGGCCAATGGACACCACTTGCTAGAAACCTCCAATTTCAAGTATAGGAGGTGCATGTGTACCCATGTATACGATACACATAGGACATGGTAGTCAAAGAAGAATCTCAAAATATCAAGATGCCCATTTTTTTTTTTTATTTACATACTATGCCAATTTTAACTGCTCTTTTTCTTAGTAGTCCAACACAGAGTAGTGCGTAGTTTTGGGAGTTTTTTTAATCTCCTGACCTCATTCCCAAAGAGATGTTAGCCATACTTGTGGAGATAACATCGCTGAAGGGGACAGACCCACACTGCAAAGCAAGCCTACCAAACCATCCCTTTTACCGATCCAGAAAACATTTTATTTCCCTGCTTCAAAAAAAATGCCACAGCCCATTTAACTCCTTTTGTCTTCTATTTTTCCAGGATTTAGGTAATAAATCCAAATCCATTTTTAAAAAAAAAAGAGAGAGAGAAGAGTGAGGCTTTTTTTATATTATTCTTTTAATTGGCCATGAGATGTTTTGCATTTTCACCTGAGATATATTAACAATAATAAAATAATGCATGCTTTTTAAAAATTCTACTGTAATCTGTTGGGTTATTTTCCTTCAATAGCATTTTGCTGCACTGCTAGGAATCTGATTACATATGCCAAAACACAAAGTTCCCATTTATAGTCCATTTAAATCTTACCCGAAACTTGTCGTCTCAAGAAATCCTCAAGTCTGAAAATCATTACTGAAAGGTTAACCACACCAGCATGTCTACAGTGGCAACCAGTATTGTGGTGCCTGAACTATCTCCAATAGGCACTCAACAAAAGCATCATAATTCAGCCAAGAAACTTTCAAAGAAGTTATGATAACTTTTACACTGTCTATTCTCATATGCATGACATTTAGAAAGCCATGCTGGATGCAGTAACAAGCAGTCTATCAAGAAAAGACGGTCATATACCCCACCCCACTCTGCTTGTTTGGTCAGATGGTACAGCACTACCCCCGCCTACAGAGGCTGAGCTGCTCCAGGCAGGGAGAGGCAGAGGAACAGCTGGGATTTGCCTGGAAGGGTCCTGGCTTTCCTAGAGGTGAGGGCGGGCAGCAAGTGGATGGATGTGACTCAAGCCATGCAAGGGCTGTCCCACCACACTGTCAGCTGTCACAGGTTGTTCTATGAGGGGAAGAGGTCTAGAATGTTTCCTGAGTTTTTTAAAATCGATCAAACACAGGAGAAATGCCATCAAGTAGATTGTTGGGTCTCACTTCACACAACCAGTAATAATTGTGTTGATTTCAAAGTCAAGGCACTGGGAGTGGAACTCAGAACTTCTAGGCCCAACTCCTATCTCCAAACACAGATCCTTTGAGAGCTCTCTGGCAAATTCCATATCTCTATTTGCAAAGGAGATACATAACACAAAACTACCCCCTGGGGTGCCATAAGAACAAATTCATCAGTACTTTGACACCCACATACCAAGATCAGGAGGGTAAGTAGGTACCTAGTTAGAAAGGTCCTGAATTGTATGAATTTGCCTATACAGACCAGGAGGAAAAAAGCACAACTTTTAAACTTCTCCAAAGACAGAAAAACAGATTAGCATGAGGAGTAATCCCTCACCTTCCCTCCCTCCTACCCAGTGACTGCCTCAAATGTAAGGAGGTGCACTAGCTCAAACAACCTTTACTGTTCACTGGAGGTTAGGATAAAGTTTTTTGCAACTCCAGGGAGTCTGGAACTGTTTTTTGCATGCAAGAACAAAATACAAAGGTGCTGTTTACCAAAATACCTTTAGCTATTGCTCCTAGTGTGCAAACCTTTATCTATTAGAGAACATCTACACTTGTCATGGGTGACACTCTGGGAACCAGCTTTCTAGTTGTTGTTGGCACAGTAAGCTGTCTTCACACATTATGACAATAACAGCTCCCTGCTAATTTCACCCTTCTTCTAAACTACTTTAGAGACAAACAGCAATCCCACGAGGACTTGCCTTTGCTCGTGCTCACAGGACAAATGTTCATGAGGTCCAGTACCAGAGAACTTTGAAATGCCAAAAAAACTGAAAATCAAAGTCCATGGAACAGATGTCTTCAATGTTGAGAATGCAATGGCATAGCCATGTGTGAACTGCCACTTCTGGTCCTAGAAAACCAGCATTGTGTGGTAGGACCATATCTTGGAAATCTCGGACCAATGGCTTCAGTACTTCAGGATGAAAGAGTACACCTCCACAAGTTATGTTGATCTTGCATCAATGATCCAGTACCAAACCATTCGATTTTGAAAACCCATACTAGTTCAAAAGTGGGAGGCTATCACTGTTTGGCAATTGGCAACTCCTGATAGTTACTCGTCAGCTATAAACCAGATGGGTGTTGGAAAAATCAACTGTTGGGGCAGTGATGGCACAAGTGTGCAAGGTTATCACCATTATGATCTACCAACCAGTAGTTGGCAACACCATGGACTGAGGCTTCTGAACTATTGAAGATCATTGATTGAACACACATCCCTATTGTTGGCCCACCAAAAAAGGCCAGTGAATATGTTCACTGAAAAAGTTAGTATTCACTGGTTCATCAGGGCTTAGTAGACCACAGTTTTGGCTCATGAACAGTCACACAAGAAAGGCCAATGACACAAAGGCACAAAAATTATTAGGGGGCTGGAGCACATGACTTAGGAGGAGAGGCTCAGGGATTTGGGCTAATTTAGTCTGAAGAAGAAAAGAGGAAGGGGGGGATTTGATAGCAGCCTTCAACTACCTGAAAGGGGGTTCCAAAGAGGATGGAGAGAGGCTGTTATCAGTGGTGACAGATGACAGAATAAGGAGCAAAGGTCTCAGGTTTCAATGGGGGAAGTCTAGGTTGGATATTAGGAAAAATTATTTTACTCAGAAGGTGGTAAAGCACTGGAATGGGTTCCCTAGGAAGGTGGCAGAATATCCACCACCTAGAGGTTTTTAAGTCCTAGCTTGACAGACCTGGCTGGGATGATTTAGTTGGGGTTGGTCCTGCTTTGGGCAGGGGGCTGGACACGACCTCCTGAGGTCTCTTCCAACTCTACAATTTCTAGGAGATAGTATAGGGACCCACAGACCCCTCATAAGAGAGAGATCTTGGAGTCACTGTCGATAGCTCTCTGAAAACAACCATTCAATGTGCAGCAGCAGTCAAAACAGTAAATAGAATGATAGGAATCATTAAAAAAGGGAGAGGGAGAGTAAGACAGACAATATCTTTTTGCCTCTATATAAAACCATGGTACTCCCACATCTTGAATACTGCGTACAGATTTGGTCGCCTCATTTCAAAAAAGATGTATTAGCATTAGAAAAGGTTCAGAAAAGGGCAACAAAAATTATTAGAGGTTTGGAATAGAGCTCATATGAAGAGAGATTTAAGAGACTAGGATTTTTCAGCTTGGAAAAGAGGAGACTAAGGGGGGGACAGAGGTATATGAAATCATGAGTGGTGTGGAGAAAGTGAATAAGGAAAAGTTATTTACTTGTTCCCATAATATAAGAACTAGCGGCCACCAAATGAAATTAATAGGCAGCAGGTTTAAAACAAATAAAAGGAAGTTCTTCTTCACTCAGCACACAGTCAACCTGTAGAAACTCCTTGCCAGAGAATATGGTGAAAACTAGGATGTTAACAGGGTTCAAAAAAGAGCAAGATAGATTCATAGAGGTTAGGTCCATCAATGGCTATTAGCAAGGATGGGCAGGAATGGTGTCCCTGGCCTCTGTTTGTCTGTAAATGGATGACAGAAGAGGGATCACGTAAGGATTACCTGTTGTGTTCCCTCCTTCTGGGGCATCTGGTATTGGCCACTGTCATAGGCAAGATACCGGGCTAGATGGACCTTTGGTCTGACCCAGTATGGCCATTCTTATGTTCTTAAGAAGAACAAGATAATGGATGAAGAGGTTCTGCTTGAGCTAGCTGGTATAAGGTACAGAATTGTAACAAAAGGCACATGGAATGTAATATTAACTTGCTCGTATCAATATACAGTCATGCACAACATCTTTATATTAATCTAGAGGACAGCATGCTGGTGTGTTGTTAAGTACTTTGTCAGGGTAAACAGGGTAGTGTGTCTGACCTCCTGAGAGGCATTAGGACTCTGCTTTGTAAACAGTAAATCTGGCCAAGTACCTTTGCCATCAAACTTAGCCTGTGGACCATCTTTATGAAGAAGATGGAGGTCTGATAAATCAATATGCTGCATTTTCTGCTAGTACAGTAGCATTGGAACTCCAAGAATAGCAGTGTTAGGAGCATTACCTCGGCAGCACTAACACTTCACGACAGGGACACATACTCTCCAAAATTCCACATCAAACTACCATGCATATGGTGTACTTTTAATAATGCCTTTTGGTGGAAGTAACACTAATTAAAATTTAGTAGCTTTGGGGAAGAATGTAGATTTTCCACAGCTACATTAATTAATACATTCATGTATTTATAAATTACAAAGCACACATCTGAACTTGTGGGCCATTTACTTATGTTCCATCATGTGGAGCTAGCTATTTTCTGCTGTTTCTACTACCTAGTAGTAATTGTTACTACTACATTTTATAGCACCCCTTTTCCCAGAAATTTTAAGAGTACGAGAGATAGCTTGTTGCTGGAGAATAGCGTATGAACTTTACCTTTGTTTTGAAGGCACACCTACAGTAAACATTTGAGGTACGAGAGCACGGTCCACATTCTCCTTCATGGCAAAGATTTTCACATGTATGAATGAAATCTATCAAAATAAAATTGTACAAGTTATTTGTAAACTGAACCTTTTAATTTAATAGATGGTACTTAAGATCTATTGCACATGAACATGGGGACCACACTGAAGCTTCTGCATGAGAAGGCAGCTTCAGGGACGAGACAGTGCCTTCAAATCACCCTTTCAGGCCTGGTCTACACTGGGAGGTTAGATCTGAATTAGCTACATAAAGTCAATTTTCTGAACAATGAGTTGGCGCCACCAAGCCCATTTCATCAACTTTAAGGGCCATTAAAGTCGATTTCTATACTCCTGCTTTCATGAGGCGTAACGCTACATTCAGTTTGGATGATCAAACTTACAGCAGTGCAGACGCAGCACTGTGCATGTTGATGTTCTTGGCTCTGGCCACAGCTTTCAACTCTATTGCTCTCCAGGTGAACAGAAAACCTTTGGGAAAATCTGAATTTCATTTCCTGTGTGGCCAGCATGACAAGCAGACCTCAGAGCAGGGACCACAGCTGAGCAACACATCTGACCATGAGTTGCAGGAGTTCCCAGGGTCACAGACAAGTAAAAGCATGGCGTATGCAGGAGACCCTGGCCCTCTGGGTATGACTACACTTGCAGCCTAATTTGAACTAAGGCTGCAAATGTAGGCATTTGGAATTGCAAATCAAGCCCGGGATTTAAATATCCCACGCTTGATTTGCATGTTCCCAGCCGGTCGCCATTTTTGAAACTTACATGCCCAAACTAACTGCCCGTGTCTACACGCAGCAGGGAAACGGGTGTTCGAAATAAAGCCTTATTCCGAACTACCTGTTATTCCTCCTGCAATGAGGTTTAACAGATAGTTCGGAATAAGGCTTTATTTCGAACGCCCATTTCCCTGCCGCGTGTAGATGCGGGCAGTTAATTTGGGCTTGTAAGTTTCAAAAATGGCGACTGGCCGGGAACATGCAAATCAAGCGCGGGATATTTAAATCCCGGGCTTGATTTGCAATTCCGAATGCCTACATTTGCAGCCTTAGTTCGAATTAGGCTGCAAGTGTAGACATACCCTCACTGCTGTATGGGGAGAGGAATCTGTTCTTGAAGAACTACAAACCAGCAAAAGAAATGCAGATACCTATACCAAGGTTGCAAAGAGCATGGAGGGAGAAAGGATATGGAAGGGGAACCCAGCAGCGCCAAGTGAAAATAAAAGAGATGAGGTAGTCTTACCAAAAGACAAAGAAGGCAAAGAGACTGACTGAAGCACTGTCGCAAACATGCCGCTTCTATGAGCGGCTGCTTGAGATCCTTGGAGGCGGAGGGGGCTGACCAGCTTCCATACCCAGTCTGAGGATTCCTCCCAAGACATTTCTCAGGCAGCAGCGTGGAGATCAACATGGATGAGGAAGAGGAGAATGGTCACCAGGCAAGCAGGGCAACTGTTGTCACTAAGGCTACATCTAGACTGCAATCCTCTTTTGAAAGAGGCTTTTTCGAAAGATACTTTCAAAAAAGCTTCTTTCAAATAAGAAAAAAAAAACATGCATCTAAACTATAATCAGTACTTTTTCGAAAAAGCAGTTTGCTTTTTTGAGAGAGCACCCAGGCAGTCTGGATGCTCTCTTTCAAAAAAGCACAGTTTGCATTACATAGCACCATTTTTTGAAAGAGCACTTTCAAAAAAAGGGGTTCTTCCTCATAAAACGAGGTTTTCTGTGGTCAAAAAAACTGCCACGTTCTTTCGATTTACTTTCGAAAGACTGCAGCAGCAGTCTAGACGCAAGGGAATTTTTTTTGAAAAAAAGGCCACCTTTTTCAAAAAAACCTGTAGTCTAGACACACCCTGAGAGCCAAGAACTTTTTATAATCTTGGAGACAATCTGCTCACATTCAGGCACTGATCCCGGGAAGGGCATTTTGGGTGAATTCATGTTTTATCTTGCTAAAAGTGGGTTAAGGCAATTGGGTGTGATCTGTGGTGGCCACTGTACCTACACAGCTGGGGGGGCCCCAGAACAGCTTGTTAACGTGTCTGGAGCCGGAGTAGATATCCTCCTTGCACATTTCCTAAAGCTGTTAAAGAGGAACTCCTTTATCCTTCTCACAAGGTTTCTGCGGAGGCCTGCCTTATTCCACCCTGCATGGTAGGACACCTTCCCACTCCAAGCCAGCAGTGAATGCTCTGGTGTCATTGTAGGAAAAGGTTCAGGTTTCTGACCATAGTCAGTCAGCATACACTTGCAACCACTCTGTGTGATTCGGAGAAGACTGGCATGGCATAGCAACTGGCGCATGGCAACCTGGATGAAGTAGGGGGAGAGAATGCCTCTAAAATAAATCTGCTTGCTCATCCCCAGTGAAGCATGGCTTGATCCCCTACTCTGCCACCCTACTCGGACTCCTGCTTCCTTCCCACCCACTCCTGTGGGAAGGGAAAGTTGCATTCTCCCAGCAAATGGGGGGTGCCGAATACACGGGCTCGACATAAGCCCCTCCTCTGCTCTGCTGCCATACCCGAACCCCCTCTCCCCTACTCCTAAGGGAAGGAAAAGTTGCCATCCCCCAGCAAACAGGGATGCCAAACACATGGGCACCATGTGACCCTTGCTCTTATGCCATGCCTAGACCCCTCCAGCCTGTAGGCTCATGCCACAGCCTGTTCTTTACCATGGCTGCCTGCCACCAAACCTAGTCCAGTTGCTCCCCTAAGAACTCTGAGGTGTACCTGCTGCATAGTGACCTCTTGAATACATAACTGCGGCCTTGTACGTAGCACATCCCTATTGTCTTTAGGCAGACCTTCCTTTTAATCTAACCGATTAAGTATTACACACTACACTATCTCCTGTAAAATCTGCCCTTCATTACAGTGAGAATGGCAATGAGCCTGCTGAGCACTCCTCCATCCCTGCCAGCTGCCCAATTGTCACAAACTGACTAGGGATGAGATGTTCAAGATGCAAGGAACCGGAAGTGAGGAACAAGGAGAGTCTGTGTCAGTCAGAGTGCATGTGATGGACCGCATAGGGACTTTCCAAGATACCTACATGCACAGGCCCCCTCCAGCCCTTGCGGACCCACACTGCCTCCTCGCCAAGTGTCATAACCTCCTTTCCAAGGAACTCTAGAAAGTAAGTGATTTTGAGCAGCCAAACACATGGGCAATAAGGAGAGCACAGCAGAGGACAGTGCAAATCAGTTTTTATGAATGGCCAGTTTTGAGAGTCATGCATGTTGCTGTCAAGGAGGTGCCCCTTCATTCAGTGTGCTTGGATGAAGCATCATGAAAAAGTACCCCTTGCGGTTTATGTACTCCTAGCCAAGACAGGAATGTGTATTCCATATATCATCCCACCGCTGTGAGGGAACCCCATTACAGCACAGCCCTCCACATTTCCCAGAGCCACTATCCTCCGTAGCAGAAGGGTATCAATTGCCTTGGCCACTTGGATAACAACAGCCCTCACTATGCATTTCCTCACCATGAATTGATTTCCAACTGACCAGTAGCTGTCTGGTGTTAAAAGATTCCATGGGGCAATTGCCACACACTTCTCCACTGTCAGATCAGGTCTTATTCTGGTCTTCTTGGGCTTCAGCATAGGGAAAAGCAATTCACAAAACTTCCATAAAGTGGCCTTGTGCATTTGGAAGTTTTGCAGCTACTACTGATTGCCCCATACCTGGATCACAATGCAGTCCGCTCAGTCTGTGCTAGTCTGATGGCACCAGAACCAGCCTTACACTGTGCCCAGAAGATCAAACGCCAGCGGCATTTGCCAGTCACTTAACTCAAGTGGTTCACAGAAAAGTATGATCGTGGCATCCCAGGATTTGTCCTCATTCTGGCAGGCCCTGGATATGCTCTGGACATACTCCAGCATTGGGTGCACATGGTTAATATTATCATAATGCTCTGATCCTCAACCGTATCCACTACAGATCCCACACTTCTGCTGCTTGAGTCTACACGGATAATCAAGCAAAAAAAAGGGTGCAAAGTCTGCAGTCGCTATTGAGCAGGGGAGGAGGGAGGAGTGCATTATGAGACTGACAACATGTATCTGGAACCACTCACTGCACAGTTTTGGTCCCAGCATACACTGGGAGCATAATTCAGAATGCAAAGAGGCACAGATGCTGTGGTATAGCTATCCACTGTGCTTCGCTCTCAAGTTGATGACAGCCATCGTACTGGGAACACAATACTTCAAACTATGTTGAATTGTTGCACACACTGGTGATATGCACCATCAACTATACAAAATCAGGTGTTAAAACATCGACCTTAATAAATTCGACCTTATCTTTCAGTGTAGACATGGCCTCGGTCTGTCTCATGTATGTGTTACAGATTTTTATGTCAGAAAAAGTATAACAATTAGGTCTTTTATAAAATTTGCAACTTAAAGTTGTACATTGCTTTGAAATATTTAATGAAAAAGGCTCATAATTGTGTTTGTTCATTTTAATAAATCTACAGCCTCTAGTATTTCACTTGCACAATTTTTATACTACTAGTATTAAACGGAGACACTTTGCTAAATACTTTTCATATAAATATATAGAATCAAACTTCTGATTTAACATGGTGCTGTCTGACCAGATGAATTATTGAGGAGCAGTATGTTAAAAACCATTTTAAAAAACAAAACATTTCCCTGTATATAATCAGATTTTTTTTAAAACAGAGAACAATTCAACAAATTCATTTTTTACTATGTGTACAGGCAGTCCCCAGCTTACATACAAGATAGGGACTGTAGGTTTGTTCTTAAGTTGAATCTGTATGTAAGTCGGAACTGGCATCCAAATTCAGCCACTGCTGAAACTGACCAGCGGCTGACTACAGGAAGCCCGAGACAGAGTTGCTCTGCCCCGGGCTTCCTGGAATCAGCCGCTGATCAGTTTCAGCAGCGGCTGACTTGGGGACGCCTGGGGTTCTTAAGTTGAATCTGTATGTAAGTCGGAACTGGCATCCAAATTCAGCCACTGCTGAAACTGACCAGCGGCTGACTACAGGAAGCCTGGACACCAGTTCCGACTTACATACAGATTCAACTTAAGAAACCCCAGCAT